TATATATTTATACACTTTACTAGTTTTGCTTCTCTAGAGAACCCAGCCTAAGGCAGTCGTCATTGTTTTGACTAATCAGAACAGGATGTCTTGGGATGCTAAAGCTTTCCTAGAGTACATCTGATATTTTCTGAGAGTTGTTCTACTGAGTCAGATATATTTCATGAATTAAGCCTTATATCCAACTCCAAATAAAGAGCAACACTGATATCTGTACTTCCTTAAGAGTAAAATCTCATCTCAAGGGCCAATTATGCCAACCCAGTTTCTAGTTATGTTCCTTCAAGGAATTAAATAACCTTTCCTTGATTCATCTTTGCCAAGGAAACCATGCTTTACTTATGTACATTTTCAAATCAGCCTTTATTTCATGCTACTGAAGTGTTGGCTTTTATTTTAATCTCAATGTGTAAGGTAGCATACAGGCAATTTAAAATAACATACATAGTACTGACATGTTTATATTTAGAACTTATGCAATATATTTACAGACATACAAATATAAGACAATGTTTAAAAAATCTTTTACTAATTACATGTTTACAACATTTTCAGAGTAAGATGAAATACGCTGTAAACCATCTCACTGTAATAGGTATATAAAAAGCTTCTGAATATCCATGTTTTCCTTCATTTCTTTAACCATTTAAGTACTTAGTTTTTAAAAATTCATCAGGCTCATCAGCATAGTCACATATTAGTCAATGCTGAGCTGTAGCAAGTAAGAGAAACCAGACTCCTCCATTAGCTGTAAGGTTGTATTTAATAAAGCTGTTAAGGAAAGTGACCTATTACTAAAGCATTCTCCTATTCTGTGGCTAGCCACATATAAAGACCTCTCCTTCCATGGCCCATGGAAGCAGCAGTAAAAAAAAATCAAATGACGTACTGCATTGGGCAGATCTGTTGCAAAAGACCTCTAAGACGTGTTGAAAAGCAAAGATGTCACCTTGAGGACTAAGCGGTGCCTGACCCAAGCCATGGTATTTTCAATCGCCTCATATGTATGCAAAAGCTGGACAGTGAATAAGGACCCAAGAATAATTGATGCCTTTCAAATTATGGTGTTGGTGAAGAATACTGAATATACTATGGGCTGCCAGAAGAATGAACAAATCTGTCTTGCAAGAAGTACAGCCAGAATACTCCTTAGAAGGGAGGATGAAGAGACTTTGTCTTACGTACTATGGACATGTCATCAGCAGGGATCAGTCTCTGGGGAAGAACATCATGCTTGGTAAAGTAGGTGGTCAGGGAAAGAGAGGAAGACCCTCAACGAGTTGGACTGACACAGTGGCTGCACCAATGGGCTCAAACATAGCAAAGATTATGAGGATGGTGCAGCTCCGGGCAGTGTTTCCTTCTGTTGTATATAGGGTAGCTATGAGTCAAACTGACTCAACAGCACTTAACAACAGCAACTCCTTCCATGATTTGTTTCCAGACCCAATTATTACAAGAGAAAATGGGTTTAGAGTGTTAAGCACGTAAGTTTGAGGGTCTGGAAACCTGCTGACTTATTAAACTCTCTGGAGTTGGCAGGGCCTCTGCTGGTGGGCACTTGGCCTTTTTTTCACTCACACTTCCAGTGCTGGGAAGGCCACTGTTTCAGTAGGAAGCTCCTGGATGGTCATGTGGGATTGTTACCAAGGTCAGCTTCATCTTACAATGGAGTCTAGCAAGGTGTAAATATTACACTGAATTTTTCTTTCCAGTTTAAAAAAAAAAGGTACATACAAAACACCAAATAAATTCTTCAACAAAAGTCATGATTTGTTGTTATATCTTGACATATAAATACATTTGATATTTTTCTTTCATTATCAACCAAAATTGTAAATAATTTTTTCTAACAATTCAAATGCAAATTTGAATTAGTTTGATTAAAAAATACATTAATAAAGTTTCATGTTTTGTGCAAAATCTGAAATAAGTTGAATCCTACTCTTCATTTACTCCTATGGGAAAATCAGTGTCAAATGTTCCAAGTGTGGCATTACATAATGTCTTCTGGAATGATTCCTTGCACAACGTATGACCAACAGTCCCGTCTTTTGCTGAACTGCATTTCAGGTGGCTATGATCTGGAGATTGGACTGAGGCTTAATGTTTACTAAGGGGAAACACAGCGAAATTCTAAACAAGTTATATGGGTCTGATCAGAGCTGTCAATATAATGGGGTCTGGCTCTAAACACTTACAAGACATTGTTGACATTGCTACTTTTGTTCCTTAAGGGCCCTGAAGCATTGGGCTTTTGAGGTCAGATGTTTTGTTATATAATTTTAAACGTGGACAAAGTGTTCTGATAAACTTGTTTGTCTGCTAAAACAAGGAGAAAACATTTTGACTAGATACCCAACGTGATTTTATCCAAAGCTAATTTTAGACACTGTGTTTACATGACAAAAATAGGGGTAATTTTATACTCAAATACATGCATCGTTAAAGAAAATCCAGAAGAGTTAACAAAAAAAAAACAAAACCCAGGTAACTAGTAGTATCTTCACTACTTGGTTTACACAGGCAGTGACTACCCAAGGGTATCACTGAGAACCAAAGGGCGTTCAAAATACAGAGGAAGAAAAACCCAAGTGGCTTAAAGTTGAATAAAGGGCTCCTGCTTTGCGTTCCGTGAGCGCCTGGACCATTCACTCCACCCACATTCAGTATGTAAGGCACTAGTGGTGCTATATGGGGAGCTCGTGGAACAGACAGGAAGCTGTTTTTAAAATGCCCTAAGTGCTTTAATTCAGCCATGGGAAGCGGCAGTTACCTGAACAAGGCAGAAGAAACTTGGCTTTTCCTTTCTTTCTGTTCTGTTTTCACCATCTTCCATTAATTGGGGAGATGGAAGTGGATCTGCTGTGGCTGGAGCACGTCTGAGAGTCCTGGGAGCAGCATCAGGTGGGGACGGGGGTGGGGGTGGCTCAGTGAAGTCAGTGCACATGAGGCAGCGCAGGGCATGTTACCAGCCTGAGGATTTGGAACCTGTGTGCGGAGTGCTTGTTCATAATGTTTAAGGAACTGGAGGATGATGCACAGAACCATCCTCTACAAAAAGAGGGGGAAATGGTGGTAGGCTGCAGTGCAGGGAGGCCTTGGACACTGACCTTACATACAAATGTATTTAATGTTCTATTATGCAAATCTTAGCCCTGACGCCTTCTACATTATTTTTGTTTTGCCTTTGACAGAACAGTCCAAATAGCCATAATATACCTTTTGATGTTAAACGTGGCTGAAAAACACCTGGGGCTTACCCCGCAAACTATACGAATACTAGCCTAGAACAGTGGTCTCCACTGTATGAAAAACACCTGGAATATTTGTTGAAAAATTCAGATTCCCAGGCCACACCCCAAACCTACTTACTTAGAATCTGCATTGTAATGGATGCTCCAGGAGAGTCTAATAAACAACCAAGTTTAGAAGCCAGTGGGCTCTTCAGGTCTTGGAAACAGGTAAAAAATAACTGCATGTCAGTGCCTTCAAGAGAGCTAAGTATCCTTCCGAGAAGATATTCTTTGCGGCATGGGAACTAAGCCTACCCTCTAAGAAGGCACGGCCAGTTTAGGCTTTGGTGTTGGACTCTCAATAATGACTGAATTTAAAAAAAATTGACAGAATTAAGTTTCACTTGAGAAAACCAGTGGTGTTTTGATAAAAAAAAGTTCAATGGAAACTGATATAACCTCCCCTAAAATGGAGAAATGAAGCCAAACATTCCTGTTAGGAATCTTGGGAACAGTCCCGTCTAAGAACACGTAAGCGCTTTGTTTAAGCAGGCAGCTGGCAGCAGCATCACGGTGTCCCGATCCTGGTCTGGCCAGGCCGAACCCCAAGTTCCAGGCGTCCTTAAATAGCAGAGAACTGGTGCTGCTGTGGCTTGGGCGGGGCAAGTTCCAGGAGAGCCTGGACCGTCACTGCAACCTGGCTCAAACCTTTCTCTTCTAAAATGTGGAGAGGCAAACATAATTGCTCCTGAAATGGGACAATGTAACATAAAAACAAACAAAAGAGAAAACAGGATGAACATCACAAAACTGAAAGGCAACAAAAGCACCCCTTCTCCTCCCCATACTAACCATCTGAGATGAAAAGCCCGGACCTGAGAAACTGGCCGCTGTGAGCGTGAGTTAGAGATGGTGTCTGACGCTCACAGGGAGAGGCGCTGTGAGCAGTGCTGTCACCCACTTCCAATCAGTATGTCCCAGTGACCGCCACTTTATTGCAATACAACCGGAAGTACATACAGATCATTTTGAGAGCTGGGAAACGGACAAGTTGCATATACTCATACATACATACAACACAGGAAGCACAGAACACTGAGGAGTGAAAGCAACATCCTTCATCCCTGATAAGTAGAGAGTAATGCAGATCTAGCAAACGAGGCAATGAAACGGAAGAACTGTTCCAAGTTCCCAGATGGCTCAAGTCTGCGAGAGAGCACATTTTAGGAGAAAGCACTTTGGAAATGACATACCAAGGTTGCACAGTGGTTTCTGGCCACAATTCAGACCGTGTGGGCGAGGGGTGCCCATTCTCTGCACTCTAATCCTGACTCTGAAAACCAGGCTTCTCTCACCAGGCAGGATCACAAGGAAGAAACTGAAGTGCATCCTAGAGGTCTTGAGATTTAATGTATTTACAGAAACTTTTCCCTATTTGGATAATTCATGAGAGGCCCAGTCTGAATTAGTTTAAAATACAAATTACAGAATTTTTAAAAAGAAATTATATTTGAAAACGTAAAGTATTTCATATTCTGGTATTTACCAGACCAACTTATGCTGGAGAAGTGTGATGAGAGTTCAGCCAGGAACATCGTAACTCCTATGTATGAGAAGTGTGTACATGTTTGTTTAAGGAAGTTACGTACTTCCGTCTTGTCTGCATCATTGTTTGGTTACGCCTTTCTAGTAAGAGAAAAAGGCAAATCTTAAGAATAACACCTATCACTGTTTTTAACTGTTAAGACTAATATTCAGAAAGATGAGACTGCTCTCAGAGAGATTAAAACAACAACAACGAAAAACCCCACTGCTGTCAAGTTGATTCCAACTCAGAGCGACCCTACAGGACAGAGTAGAACTGCTCCATAGGGTTCCCAAGGCTGTAATCTTTACGGAGGCAGACTGCCACATCTTTCTTCTGTGAAGCGGCCGGTGGGTTTCAACCACTGACCTTTTGGTTAGTAGCTGAGTGCTTAACCACTGCACCACCAGGGCTCCTTCACAAAGAAAGTGCAATTCTTGTTCCATTAAAAAAGAGACTATACATATTTATTAAAGAAGATAACTGGATTTTTCTGTGCTTTTCATTGACACTAGCTTATATTACTAGGAAGTTTTATAAAAACAGATGCAATAAAAAACATAACCAGCATTTATTTTTGAGGCAATTATTGATACTTGTGTTTCTTAATTACTTAATACTTACTCTGACAAAACAAGGTACCTGCCATCTTTTTTTTCTAACTGCAACCTTCTGATCTTATAAAACTAGCAACTATGTACAAATACTTTTGACTCCAACTGTAAGAACAGGTGAATGATACTTAAAATGAATCTGCGTGGTGTTTTGCTCTGGACAAGATGCCTTTTCTCCAAGGTGGATTCCCTGATCTTCTCAGCAGTGCCCTGTGACCTGTGTGGCCTGGTGGCTTAGACACTCCCTTCAGAGGCACATGCTTCCGAGACAAGTACTGAACTCCCAGCTGCCTTAGAGGGGGCACTGTGTATTCTTAAGAGGAAGCACAGTCACTACTCCTGGATTGTGGATGAGATCAGGTCTTTATTTTCTCCAATAGGTGTTTTTTAAAGGGACAAAATGCCACACAAGTCTTGAGAATGATCACTGCCTAAGAGACATCTTAAAAACAAAACAAACACAAACCCCCGAACACTGGAAGGCACTACTACTGTATAAAACCAGTTCTCATCACGGCGTCAATGTTTCAGCATTAACAGGGGACAGTCTGTGGAGGAGAACCAAAGCAATCAGACCCCCGCTGAATTCTGCAATGGGAATGTCAAATTGGCCATGGTATGTTCCTTGTGATCTCCATTCATACTTGAGTTCAGCTGCCCAATTTTGTTAGCACAGTTCAGGAGATTCCTGCATGTTCGGAAATGCCATTTATGAGAACTAGTATCTAAGTACAGTTATAAAGTAATTTCAAGCATCAAGGTCCAGCAGTTAGCATATTACCCACTCTGAAAGAGAGAGCAAAATTCACTGCCTTGGGTACAGAACAGAGACCGTTGTCTAATATTTTACCTGCTACTGTTCACATACAGTCTCCCAAACATCTCACGTATTAAGATGATTCTAACATACTGGAAATTACATAAATTCCATGTTTAAATTCTACACAGGATTCTAGAAGTGACTCTCAGGGTAAGGATAACAAAGCTGTTAAGTCTGGAGAGGTGTCCAGCCCCCGAAAAGTCAGTTCCAGGTCTGCTCCTTATGCACCGTTTTACATGCACACACTGGGCTCAGAACAGGAACCTACACGGCCTTTGGACTGAACGTTCTGACCAAATTAAAACTATTCAGATTAAATGGCCAGCGCCTCTCAAACTTCCCGCCAGCCAATGCTGTGCCTGTGGGTGAAGGGGGAGTTCAGGGTGTCAGGGTAAGTCCAAGGCAGGGGAGACCAGGTGCCCTCCCCTACCCCACCCCTCCAAAAAACCAGGAAGGGCACAAATATTTTCTTTACGAGTGGCTGTTGAAATGGTTCACCAACTCAAAATTTCAACACTTAAGGTGTGCTGAGGCATGGAAACATGGCCAGAGGGGGTTATTCTGTCATTTGGGACTAAAGTTCTGGATGTCATATTCTAAGAACAGGCTCAGGATTGTATTAGTAGAAATACTTCAGTGCTTATGATCAGCGCAACAAAGTCACAGGCCAGGAGAACTGAAGAATGATCAGACGAAAAAACGCTGGTCCGTTACTCTTTTTTGGTGGGCTGCTCATCTGGACATGTGAGGAAAGGACTTATCTCCTTTATTGGTTAGCTCTTTGATGGACCAAAAAAGAAGCACATATATAAATAATTCTGAATGAGAAACAAACCTCCCTTACCAAGCACGGGAATGAGGTGGAAAATCACTGGAACTCAATCTTTCAGCTAGAGGGTGAAAATCCAGTAATAAAACATACACAGAGTTAACATTAAAGTACAATAAAATGCCACAAAACCCAGAAGATGGACAGACAGACAGACAAAACTGGATTCTTCTGAATGTGCCCCAAGAGAAAGCAGTGTTTCAACAGTTCGTTTAACGCTGAGGTTTAGCTGAAGGATGTCGGAAGGGGAACAAAGATTGTCCTGTCCAAAGTGTGAGCAGGAAAGGAAAACAGAAAAACAAAGTCAGTGGATCAGAAATGCAGATTTGAGTACAGAATTCAAACATATGATTATCTCACTCATATTCTAAGGAACACATGCAGTAACACTTTTACTGTGAAGAATGAAAACAAAAGGCTGGAAAACAGAACTGCAAACAATCCTCTATGTGTTGAGCTTGACTTTACAGCTAAACAGCAGAACAGAACTGGCTTGTTGGTGACTATCACGAACATTAA